TACCTATAATTCTTCTAATCCTGTGTTGAATAGTCAAGTACTGAACCTGGACTGTCTCTCTTTTTTTTTGGTAGTTGTGGATAAAAATAAAAATAATGGTAATAGTTGCCTATTACCATTAATTGACTATGGGCAAAATTGTGGGGTATGATCAATCTTTATTTCTCTAAGGTAGAACAACGTATTGTACATTAGATATTATACCTCAGTTATTATTCTGCTTCATGAAAGTTGTATGCTCTTCCAGTCTGAGCTATATGTTGCTTATTCAAAAATAATGTAAGTCTGTTTTCCACAAAGGCTTGGCTGAAAATATTCTTTGCTACTTCTGTCATTTAGAAATAGCAGAGGCAGTGCCAGCATGCCAGCATGATAAGGGTAGATCTTGAACAGAAGATCATGCATATTTGAAATCATATTTTCTTTTGCTAGATCCCCAAACATTATGTCAGGTCATAGGGGGACATGTATGTTGACTGAAATAACAGATTACTCCTGCTTAAAGGAACATCACTCCCTGTTATTCCTTTAAGTTTATGTGCAGAGGGTCTCATAGTTTTTCCTTTCAGAATCCCTTTGATTTGCATGTGTCAGCAGGCCATGTGGGGCATTAAATTTCCAGAAAAGCAGATTGGGAGAATCTCTTCTATTTGTCTGGAAAGCCTTCTTATTTAATCCACAGGGCCAAAATGCTGAGGACTTCAGTCTCCCTCACCCCATGCCAGCATATCAATTGTTGCAGGTGGTAAAATAGGAGTAGAAAGCCCCCATTCTTCTCGCAGATCAAGTTCCTACAGATAAATCTATGACTTTAGCCATTTGTCAAAATTTGATCCTGCTCTTAGCACCAGTTTACCTTTAGGAGAGATACTGGATCTTTTTTTAACTGCAGAGAAATCCAGCAACCTTTGTACCTTATCTTGACCTTCAATTAACTTTAGAATAGCACAATTCACTTGCTTCACATTAAGATAGAATAAATTTAGATTGGCTTATTTTGTTGTGCCTCACAGAAGACAGCATGTTACATCTTAACCCAGCTACAGAGAAGGGGCAAAGAAAAAATCCATGATTGTGCCATTTTATTTCTTTTCAGTGTAAGATGGGTAGAGAGGCTGTCAGGCTTTCAAGATCCTGTTATTATAACCTTTCACAACAAAGTTTAGTTTCAGTAATCCATGTGATTTCTGTTTTCCTGATGCAAAGGAATTCAAGGCCAAATTTAAACTTGCTCTTCAGAGATACTTCAGGAAGACTCATCACCTTCCTACAGTTCATCGGGCCCCAAGTTGATTAGAATACTGATGATATTTAGCACCACCACTAACAACAACAATAAAAAGGCATTCTAAAAGACTACCAGGAGCTAGAGAAAAGCAAGAACCATCATTTGTATCAAATTCAAGCAGCCAACACTTGGCCTTAGAAAACATCAATCTTTCTCTCTTGGGATGAAACAAATTAGGTTTAGGGAACAAAAGGAAATGAAGCTATGACAGGGATCACTCTATGAAAGAAAAACTGAAAGAAGAAAAAAGATTTAATGCTAAATCACATAAAGCTTATTGGAATTAACAGAATCTGACATCTATAGAACTGGAGTAATAAAGAAGCAGTGTGGCTTTTAAAAGCCATATATATTGCAGTTTCTTCTAAATAACTCAGCTGTCTTACATCCTGTTGACTGCTGGCAAGAATCACATACTGTGGCAGCTGGAAGGTTTACATTTTTTGCATACTGACATTTTACACACATACAGAGAACTATGATGAACATATTCCTGTTGCTTACAGTTGAGAAGCTGCTTTATTTGTAGAAATGAAGCATGCCAAGTTTTTTTTTTGCTTTTGTTAAAATGACAATGGTAATGCCCATTCAAATTCAAAGGAAGGTCATGTTGTTGAATTAAACTGCATATGAAAATGCAACTTGAATTACATATCTCAGACCATTCAGAAAGGAACATTTTAAGGTCTGTGTAACTCTTATGATAACGATTCTAAGATGTGCTATGAGTTTCATACCCACATCAATATACAAAGCAAGTGAAAAGCTAAGAGAAACTAACATTTAATCAAGCCTTCAGTCGACTGCTAATGTAGAATTAGGAATGGTCAGAAGGCAGATTTTATCCACATTTAGCCATTGTTTGAATGAGATACTAACAATAAGTCTATCATTCCAAATTCCATCATGGAAGAAAAGTGGCATATTAAAAAACAACTCCACAGGAGTATGAGATCAACGACCTTGCTAAAGCAAGATCACAAGAAACCAGTAGAGCCACAGCTCCTGGAGCAAGTAAGACTGGGTCCAGCAGCAGTTTTGGAAACAAGGGAGGTAAAAGAAAACTGATAGACTCTGTTTGCTATCTTCCCCTAAATACTAAAATCTGTCATGAAAGAAAGTGAATATATGTGTCCCAGGATAATGTTGCAAGATCCAATTTGAGCTGGTCACCAAGAGCAGAGGTTAACTTCTGCTAGCCAGAAGTTCCCTAAGGATGGGCTCAACCACAAGTCTGAAAGCTCAGAAAACTAAATCTCTGATCTCAGTGACCAACCTAGATTGGATCCTAGAATCTGTCCCTACATTCTAGAAAACTAGACGTAGTAAAACTGCACAAATAAAGTTCTACAATATTTTAAACAAGAGAGATGCCTGTGCTCAGAGATATGCAACAATGAAACCTACACCTGACAGTTTTCCCATCAGTTGGCAGTTTTACAGGCAACACTAATATGCTTTTGACATTCCTGCAGTAGCTTCTTGTACTTCTTATCTATTTCTATTACTTTGGTTTTGAACCCCAAATTCTGCTGTGCCTTTACCCTGGATTATTTGATTTATAGTCTTCCTGTCAACTGATTTCATTGTTACTTTGGTCTCTCCCTTCCCATGTCTTAAGCTTGCAAATTGTTATTAATGCCTGCAAAAACTAAGCAGTTCTGTCTGAATGATGGACTTCACTGGATAGAAAATTACCAAGAAATCTCAGGATGGTGCATTAGACTAGGATGCGTTTTTAAAAATGAGAATGTCAACAACTTCCATGTTGTTAACAAAAAATAGTTGATTGTGACTCAAAAGAGACTCTGTTTCTTTGATTCCTGTGAATTTTCTTGTTCACAGGATTGGAGTTTAGAGCAAGACACTGACCTAAAACCAGTATGTAACCAGGGTGATTGATATAACATTAAACAACACTCCCCCCTCTTCTGATATTCAGCTCCTAGTTCTATCCAGGAACTAGGCCAAAGGCTGAATAACGAAAACAAAATTTTTGCAATAGATCCAAACAAATAGGGATTAGAACTTGGCAAAATCTTTAACAGAGCAGCCAAGAGATGCTATCTTACCACCAACAAAATAGCCATGAAGTCAATTTAGTAGGACTGATCCAAACAGTAAAGAATCTTTATTACTATAGTTTGATCTTATTTGGATAGTGAAGACTTTGCAAGTAATGACTTCTTATATTACTATAATGTTTACAATCATGGTAATCAAATTAAATCCTGATTAGATCATCATATTTTTTCCTGAAATACTGTTCTTTTGAAGAAATCATATATTTGTATGTGTTTGTGCACTGTGTTTATGTATGTATGTACATACGTATGTTTGTATACACACCCACACCCACCCACCCACACTGACCTTTATGGCTCTTCAGAACTCATGACTTGGCAACTTTTTCCAGCTAGATTTGCTAAAGTGCCTCATTAAATAAAGGCTACCCTGCCCCACCTTCTTGAGCTTCTGGGATTTCTGTAGTTTCTTCCCCAAACCCCAAAAACTTTAACCTTAGACTGTCTACTATTGACCTCACCCCTTTCCTAAGAGGCCTGTAGGGGGCGTGCATAAGCGCACCAACGTGCCTACCGTCCCTGTCCTATTGTTTCTCTTATTCTTTTATTTTTCTTATATGTACCCATTTCATGTATTCACAACTATGTATACATTTATACTTATTATCTTGTAAACAATTGGCAAATCAAATAAATAAAATAAATAAATAAATAAATTTAAAACTGGTTCTATTGATTGGCTAGGGATCTCAATGAGACGTTCCATTTTGGAGGTGTTAGTGAATTGAGAGAAGATTTTATCTCCACCCCATTGTATATTGTTTACTTCCTTGGCCATATATGTTAATTTTATTCATATTTATTCTTTTAGTATTTTAAGGTTTTACATTGTTTTTATCTTGCTAAAAGGCTGCCTGGAATCAGCTGGCAGCAAGATGGGCAGCCTATAAATGTAATAAATAAATAAATAAGTTGTATTTACATGCTCTTTGTGTTTTGATTAGCAGCTGAATTTGTTTTTTTTAATTAATATTAATTTAATTAGGGCACTGTAAAAATCTGCTTGAATATACTGTTAAAGGATAAATATTCTTAAACTTATTTTTTAATCTCTGCTTGAAAATTAATCACAGAATATAATTTTTATATATCATTTTTCCTTTTGAAAGTCTATTTAAATAAATGGCTTATTTTTGTCCAAGAGTTGCACACCTATTTTGGAATTAAGCGGGAATAAGTAAACGTTACAAGGAGACTTGACAATAAAAAGAAATCTTCATTTTTTTTAAAAAAGAGCTTTGCTTTATGAATTATATATTCCATACAAAGAAATAACAATGTAAGAAATCTCAAGTAAATTCTGTATAAGATGATATTAGTAATTTTATTCTGCACAGATTTACTGTAAGAAAGAAACACTATTTCTGAGAATTTTCTTGGCACTTATTTTTAAAAAGTTACAATAGAAATCATGATGAATGCACAATAAAAAAGTAAACATTGAAGCTGATCAACAATCACAACATTGGTGAGAGCATTAATGCAGTGTGAAATTGGGTGGAAAATGAAGTAAGCAAGATAAAAACATAATTATTTTTTTAAAAAATGCAGGCATTAGTTTAAAACTTTTAATTTCTCATTGAGTTGTGAATCAAGATGTTGGAAATAAATCAAAATGATATGCTTACATCTAAGATTGTCCACTGCTCTACAACAATAGCATCATAGCCTTGGACACTTCTGCTATCATCTACAGAAGGATCTTCAAAGATGAACATTCCATCTGTCATGCCCTGGAAGGTATCTGTGCCGAAACAAACAAATTCTATAAACTGTACTGTTAGTTATTATCTGTTAACAGTCTGTGCATTATTTATCACAATCCAAGATTCTTCTTACCATGTTACAAAATAATAGAAGATAGGATATATCTCTGCAGGGCTAAAATGTATTAGCATGAATGACAGTAATAGAGCTACCGTGTTTCTCCAACAATACGGCCTCTACCAATAGGAAGGCCCAGCATGATTTCTAGGCATGAGGTGAAATTAATCCCCGCCCCCAAAATTTAGGCCTATTTAAACCATGCGTTTCCCTGCCATTTCTTACATCGTTCGTTAGAACTACACGAGGTGAAGAGAAATGGTGGGGGGGGGGGGGAGGGCAGGGGGGGGGGGGGAGAAAACTTGTCTTTAGGAGTGGCCTGCAGGTAGCCTAGGCTAGAATACCCTGATAGCTGATAGAAGCTCCCTTGAAGGCAGAGTCCCCAGCCGCTTCAGGGTGTGGCAGGGCGTGGCAGGGCTGCCTGTGTCCCCTCGCCTTTAGGCAGTCTCTTTCGGGTGATGGAAGCTCCCCAAATGCAGTCACAAGCCACTTCGATCGGACGGTAGAAGCGGCCTCGGGGCGAGCGCGCACAAACACTCCCCTCGCCGCGAAGCTGCTTCTATCGGCAGACGAAAGCTCCCTTGAAGGCAGAATCCCCAGCCGCTTCAGGACATGGCGTGGCTGCCCATGTCCCTCGCCTTTAGGCAGTCTCTTTCGGGCGATGGAAGCTCCCCAAATGCAGTCACCAGCCACTTCGATCGGCCGGTAGAAGCGGCCTCGAGGCGAGTACACACACACACTCCCCTCGCCACAAGGCCGCTTGGGCAGGCACGCCACGCCCCGAAGCGGCAGGGGACTCTGTCTTCAAGGGAGCTTTTGTCTGCCGATAGAAGCAGCCTCGCGGCTAACTGTTTCTTAATGATATTCTAACTGTTTCTTAATGATATTTAAAAATAGTCTTGGGACCAGAACCATTTCAGGGCATACAGTTGGTTCAGCAAAGAATTGGTCTGGAAGTGCAAGTGTATCTCCCTAAATGTCTCCAACATCTGCCTCTGGCCCCAACTGCACTATCTTCTTGGCCTTGAACAATAATGCCTGGAACTTATGGGATTCAAATAGACTAGAAAAGGCTGGTCTTTCAGGAGCCATGCATTCCTCCTCAGAGAAGTCAGATTCTTGTTTGTCTTCTTCTGGGGCCACAGATATATGGCTATGTAGGGATGGGTCAAGTGAAGCCCTGTCCCTCAAAGACTGCCTACTTCTGGAATGCATAGAAGGATCTGGGTATGAAAGAATAGAATATTCAGATGCCACAGATTCTGGCCTTCTCTTCTCATCACTTGAAGGCTTTCTACTATTCCCTGTCTTATGGCCTTAGAAATAATGGCCTCAAAGTGAGCAGGCAATACTTGTTCTGCAACTTCAGGATCCCACAGACCTGCAGCAGTGGGGGTAAAAGTTGCCTCCACCCCGGTCTACGCCTCCTAGGAGGAGGTTCCATTGACTCCTCTTGGAATGCTGTCTGGTGGACCCTTTCATAATCCCTGCCCCCTTCTAGTAGCAGTGGGACTGCAGAATCAGATGCCTCATCAGGGGACCAAGCCTGCAAACAAGGCCTACATGCAGAGGAGGGCCCAGGCTCAATCTGTAACACTGGAGACTGTGCAGAAGAAACTGACTCATCTGGGGGTGGTGATCTGAGGCTCCTTACTCCAGAGGCACACTGGTTCTTTTCCACCTGCTTCTCCAGTGCTCTCTGCCTTCTGATAGCATCTTGTTCCTTAGACCTAGAAGGCTGTTTGGGTTCAGGGGCCTTTTTCTTTTGCTGCCTCTTGATCTGCCCTAGATATAGAAAGATTATGTGCATCTGCCATCTTGGCTGGTGGGATATGAGCTGTAGAACTGCCCAAGGGAAAGACTGGTTCCTGGGGGAGGAAAGGGGATGAAGAGTTACTTCCACTTTCATTTCCTACTGAGCCCCTTAAGCCCAGCTTAAACAAACAACTTCTCTTACCTCCAAGACCAGTGAAGCACACCTGAAAGTCCTATTGCTGGGCTGCAGACATGCCCTGCCAGCCACCATAAGCAAAAGGGACCTGCATACAGGTCTACTGATGCACCACACGAGACCTCAACATTGTACCTGCACTCCCAGTGCTGGCAATGTGATCAAATCTGTGCCACCAGCTGGGCCTTGAATCTTCTGCCTCCTTGTCTGCAATCCAATCCTCTTGTGCACCAATGCTATCATGCGTTGGTTCTGCCCAGCTGGGTCGTGATGATTGCCCGATCAAGCAGCTTGCTGCTGCACTACTGCAGCGCAGTGCTGTACTCCTAGCGGGCCGATCGCCTGCTCCTGCCACTTGCTGCTGCGCTACCGCACTTTGCAGCTGATCAAAAATCAGGCTGATTGCCTGTTCTTCTGCTATGCAAAACAGCTGAGGCCCTTATCGGGCCGATCACTGCTGCCACTCCAACCACTCCCATGCAGTGTGGCTCAAGCACTGGGGCCACTGCCCTGAGTGCTTCCTGGACTGGGGGCAGCCAAAACCCCTCCTTATTTGCAGATCTCCTTGCTTTTGAAGACATAATTTTTTTTTAAAGAAAAGGCCTCCTCTTCCAATGTGAAGTGGAGCCCCAGCAACTCACGTCCGTCCTGGCTTGGACTGAGTTGAAAACTGGGCTGTGGCCTATGGTGCAGGGCGGAGCGTCAATCAATGTGCAGGCTCAGTCCAATAGGCTGAGGACTTGAGCCTACCCACTCTCTCTGGACTCCCGTAGCCAGAGAGGAAAAGGGTGAGCGGAGCTCCACTCCCTAGATCTGAATTTTTCGCATCTGGAGGCCCTCTGAGGGCACATTGATCCTGGAGGGATTTGCTGATTAGTGGGGAAACTCTGGGAGCAACGAGGTAGAAGGCACCCACCTGCTGCGATGAAGAGGCAGCCCACAAACCCGGAGCGAAAAAGCACAGTCATCCGCATGAGGGCTGACTCCTGGTTGTGACAGCCAGATGTAAAGAAGGAAGAATTAAAAACAGCAGATGGAGATATCGACAGACCTGGTGAAGCCCAGTGCCATAAAGGGAAAATTACCTAGCAGAGGAGTAAAGATCCACACATATCAATGGTGAAAAAGAAAGTGTCAGATTGGAAGGGGTGGAAGCCTCCAGGACGGGTGGTGATTTGGTGGTGAGAGCAACATTTGGAGAGAGGAGAACTTTTCAACCAAAGAAAAGAAACAGAGGAAAGGGAAGAAGCTAGAAAAACAATATAAGGGACAAATATGTGATAAGAGAGGCGTATACGACCGCTGATGCGGGGAAAAACGGAACAGTATTGGATTGACATTTGATACGGAATGTAGTTGCTTACAAGAAGACAGCAAATAACAGGAAGGAAGGAAGCGAAAGAAAGGAAATAACTCTGTGGCCTGAAGCAGATGTAATCCTACTAAATATTAATAATACATTACTGGTGATAATTATAGAGATCTGTATAGTTATCTGTTATGCACATTTTCTTGATATATATTTATATAAGTTGTGATAATTATAGTGGAAGTGATTAGTGCTTAATGAAATTAAGGTCCTGATTGATAGATGAAATATTTAACTGTTAATATAAAGTGTTGCTCTCTAATTGACATCTAATAGGAGTTCTTTAAATACTAAGTAACATCTTAGATCATTGTATATTGTTATTACTACAGTATACTTGACCGGTGTAACATTATTACATATCACTAAATATTTACCTACAATATAAATAGCAGATTGATATTTATATTTATATAGATAAAATGTTATAAGGACCAGAAGAAAAATTTATAGCCAAAATGTACAATTACCTACTAAGATTTGATAGGGAAGAGGAAGTAGTCAAAGGAAATGTGATAGCCTGGGCAAGAAACTTTGGTTACAGCATTCAATTAGAGGAATGGGAAAAACTGTGGACTAAAAATTATAAATTAACAATGGCCGCTGCCTATAAGGAAAACCTTTATAAAATGATTTACTGTTGGCATCCAACACTGGCAAGATTGGTTAAAATATATCCAAACATGAGTCCAGAATGCTGGAAATGTAAGCACAAACAAGGTACCTTCTTTCATATGTGGTGGTCATGTCCTGAAGCAAGAAAATGTTGGAATAAAATAAGGAATTGGTTGCAGGAAATTATTGGTCTCCAAACTGAATTCAAACCTGGAAGGTTTCTAATAGGAATAATTAGAGGATTATTTGATAAAGAAATTAAATATATTATAACACATATATTGATAGTGGCAAGAATCACATATACACAGAGTTGAAAACTAGATAGTACCCTCCCCCTGACAGTAAGATAATAAAGAAAGCAATGGATTGTGCAGAGATGCTCAAACTCACATTGGAACTGCAAGATAGAGAAGATATGGAATACTATACAGTCTGGGATAAGTGGTATAATTGGTTAGACAGTAGAAACAAAAATTAATGTAAATATGTATATTGACCTAAATGGAAATGTCAATGTCACAATGCTGCGAAGATTATATATGAGTTTTTAATATGTAGAAATAAAAATTTATTTTTTAAAAAAGCAATTCATTTTGAATATGATATATGATATCAATATTAGTTTATCCTCAATGTTTTGGATGTAGTTGCTTCTTTTACCAGACTTATTCAGAAGGCTAAACCAATGAAAATTACACAGACTGAAGAACATGACAGAGCATTTCAGAATGTGAAGTATGCTATATGCCAAGCTCTATTCCTCAAGAGTCCAGATTTTCATAACACTTGACAATGGAGATATCAGAGATATCTCAAACAAGGTCCATTAGGGGATGTAGGCCATTGCCTTAAGTAGCAGGAAACTATTATTTTGAGAAACAAGTTACTCCACATAGAACAGGAGTGTCTAGCCATCTAATGGGACTTATATATCCACATTATTATTTAATAGGGAAGTCATTTAAACTTTTCACTAATCATC